CAGGTCCGCCCCGGCCGCCATGGCCCCGGCCCCACCCCTTCCCCCTGCGGCGATTGGCTATCCGCGCCGAAGCCTCTCTTTGGTTGGGCAGAGGGAATGACGCGAGGGCGGGCGCGCAGGCGCTGTGGCGGCTCAGAGGGGCAGCGCGGGAGCGGCAGCTCGCCTGGCGCTGGCGGGGAGCCGCCATCTTGTGGCGCTCTCTCCCTCAGCGACGCTGGTGTGGTGTCGGGCCGTTCGCTGCGGAGGCGCTGGGCGGTGAGGGGACCTCCGCGTCGCCGTGCACCCGTGGGATGAGGCTACCCTTAGCCAGGGGCTGGGCGAAGGCGATGTGGCTGCCACCGTGGGTCGCTCCCTGAGACGGGGCTGCCCCTCCAGAAACCGGTGCGGCTTTGTGTGATGTGTGTGAAAGTACTCAAACCCGAGTAATTTTAAATGCTAATTACAAACTAGTGAGTTAGTTTAATTCTTCATGTGACTGTAAATCCTTGCTTATTTAGAAGGTGTTAGAGCTTGGGTGTTTTTTTATTGTTGTTGATTTGGGTTTGGCTTTTTTTTTTTTAATTCTTCCTGGCTGGTTTACACTTTTAATTAACCTTTTATATTTTTGTTTTTTTTAAGTAAATGTGTTTTGTAATGTGGGTGGGAAGTCTTGTGTTCAGATCTTACTAGGCCTAGAAATTCTGCCATGTGTAGCTGGGCAGTGGAGACAGCATCTGCCTCCTGTCTGGGGATGGGAAAAGATTTGGCAGGTTTTGTACCCATAGGGATCCAGAGCAAGGCCCTAATCTTCCTCTTGGCTACTTTGTCCAGAGATAATTCAGTCAGATTAGTTTTCTGGATGAAGGGAGATAGGGACCTATGGAACCAAGCTCTTGCTTGATCTGGGAGGCCTTACCAGTACTAGATAGGATGTTTTTCTAAAGCAATCATGACAACGTCGCTTCTGTGCAGCGTGATGAATGTAGACCAGTCACAGTTGGTCTTGCCTCATCTTTTCACTGTGAACTGTAAACTGAGCTGTGGCTAGGAAAAAGGAATCAGACTTGTGTTCTTCAGTTGCTGGTGGTTGTGCTGGCTTTTGCATTTGCCCCTTGCGTCAGTTGTTTTGGGGCCTAAGGTGGAGGAAGCTCTTAACATCTTTTCACCTCCATTTTTCCCTTTGCGTGAACCATGTGTTTTCCTTTTGAAATCAATTATCACATCCAGAAATGAGCTCCTCAGACTTAGGAGACAGAAATCCCTGGAGCATGCTCTGTGCTCTTCCCACAAGATATTATTTGTATCTCTCTTTCCCTGTGGTGGTTACTGACATGACTTTTCTGATCCCTCTTCCTGCAACATCCAGGAAATGGAAAGAGTGTTCACCTATGTCCTGGTTTTAGCTGGGATAGAGTTAACTGTCTTCCTAGTAGCTGGTACAGTGCTATGTTTTGAGCTCAGTATGCAAAGAATGTTGATAACACTGATGTTTTCAGTTGTTGCTAAGTAGTGTTTAGACTAAAGTCAAGGATTTTTCAGCTTCTCATGCCCAGCCAGCGAGAAAGCTGGAGGGGCACAAGAAGTTGGCACAGGACACAGCCAGGGCACCTGAACCAAACTGGCCAACAGGGTATTCCATACCATGGGACGTCCCATCTAGGGTAGGAACTAGGAAGTGGGGACAGGGAATCGCCGCTCGGGGACTAGCTGGTTGTTGCTCGGTGGGTGATGAGCAATTGCACTGCGCATCATTTGTACATTCCAATCCTTTATTACTACTGTTGTCATTTTATTAGTGTTATCATTACTAGTTTCTTCTTTTCTGTTCTATTAAACCGTTCTTATCTCAACCCATGAGTTTTACTTTTCCCGATTTTCTCCCCCATCCCACTGGGTGGGGGGGAGTGAGTGAGCGGCTGTGTGGTGCTTTGTTGCTGGCTGGGGTTAAACCACGACAACCTATTGTGTCTCCTTCCTCCCGCCTGTGAAGAGGAGCTGAGCAACACCAGGAGAAGTACAGGTGAGATTGGATGGTGAAGTCCATGTTTGTGGGTTGGACAGTTAATGGGGATAGCAGAATTGATAGGAAGATAATGACTGGGCTTGTTTAGGATTGCATTCAGCCTGTAAGAGAAGGGAAGGTATGGAAGAAGAACTTCTGGAGGTCAGTGCCTCCCAGTATCTGGTTAGTGTAATTTTGGGGAAGACTTTGATAAGTTTAAACCTTGGATCAGTGTATGCTGCTGTGAATGTGAAAGAAATGTACCTGTAGCACCAATGCTTCATACATAACTGAATGGAATAAAAATGGTGGAAGGCTTTAAATACACACAGCCCATCACTCTGGGTTTGTCCACCCCAGCAGCAGCAGTACAGCTGCTTCCTGTGGATGCCTCTGAGCGCTGCCATCTTGGGATTGATGCTCTCATCCTGTGAGCGCTTCTCATTGTGGGGAAGGTGGTAGATCAGTTTTATGAGAGAGATGCTGAAATGTTGAGTGATTGCAGATACTAAAATACACTTTGGTTTTGTAGTTTAGGGCTTTCTGTTATTGCCAAATTGACCTTTAGATCAAGACACACATAATTTGGCTGCTAATCCTTGGTGCCAGATGGAATTCTTTTCCATTTTTAAATGACAGAAGTAATGAGTCATTACTTTGTAGTAAAAGAAACAGATTGCTTACATGCACAGGAGACGGGGTTTTGGAAATCTGCAAAAGGTCATGGAAAATCCAGTGTTCTCCTCCTCCTCCTCCCACCCAGGGCTTCTATTGTATTGAACTATGAATGGGTTGAACTGTTGAGATGTCCAGGTTGGGTGAAAAATTGATGAAAGCTCATGTTAATTTGTTATGTAAAATTGTTGTTGAAAGAAAGCTTAAAACGAAGCTGAAAGAGTGAACTGTATGTGAACTTTGTGATGCTGAACTAAGGCACCTGGTGCAGCTGTGAATTTGTTTTGCAGCATGCTATGCTGTCTCTAGGATGAGACCGTATGAATCATTTTTCTTTGATACATTGCATGCATTTAGCTGTTGATTTTTCTCCCTGTATAAATAATGCTTTCTGCTCATTAATCATTTTTATGAGTGTTCTCTGCAGTTTCTCAGATTTCTTAATGTCTATCTGATAATTGGAGTTTGGAAGGTTAACTGTGTCTGGAACAGTGAGTTCATTTGAGAGCTGTC